TCCCGCAATTTTATTCACGGGTTTGGGCCACAAGAGTAGGGGGGGGGTTTCAGGGGGGCCCCTGACCTAATAAAAATAGGAAGGGGGGTTTCAGGGGGGCATGCCCCCCTAAATTTTACCATAATTTAATGTTTTGCAGTTGTTAGGTTTGATATCTTAGCTCACCGCGAATCAAACGTGTATAGATCTAGATCATCTAGATCTAGATGTAGGTAGGTCAGGCTCAAATAAGGGGGGGTGGGAACTACCGAAAAAGCAGCAATTTTTGTACCTTGTCTGACGTCATCATCCGATAAAACGTCAAATGTTCCAAAATTGTCAACTCCGTGGAACCGAAGGATCTGACAAACAGCATTACTGAATCCGCATCGAGGAGCTTCAGGAGTGCCCTTCATGAAGACAAAAATCGGTTTCCCTGCATCCTTCACCATTGCATCGATGTTAACTGTCCCTTCTTGTGACAACATTCTTGCGAAAGCAAGTCTACAAAATGAAGTTCCATGACTCCGGAAAATTTGACGAGTAATAAAACTCATGACGGTATTTAGAAATAATTAGTAAGGCAAGCTCCTTGATTGATCTACCTGTGCAGTGTGCAGACTTGTAGGCCTAAAATCGAAAGTAGAATCTAGATGAGAAAGACACCTTCACGCTTCACACTGAAGATTTATCTTCCGGTGGATTTTTCTAATTTCTTTCGGTAGAAAAAATAAGGCAAACATCTAGATCTAGATATTTAATATTGTACGATAAAAATCATACTGATCATGGACATACATAATATGAGAGGAAAATACGCTTCTTTAGTTTGATAAAAATTATTAATACATTTTCTGGGTTTTTTGGTATTCAATTTTTTAGGAGATTTTTATTTTCAGAGTTATCCCCCTACAATTGTACATCTATGTGCCTAGTGCCTTGTCTACGGATGTAAAAGTAAAGTGTAAACTTCCGATTACGCTCAATCAATGCTCATCCACCGGGCCTCTGGAAGAAACCGAAAGCTGACGTGACATCAGTGGAGTTGCTTGAAATTATGACTCAGTGAAGTGGTCATACAATTGCAAAAAAATCTGATACTGTGTCACTTTGAATTGCACCAAAAGTTCAGTTCACGATGGGGGATGATGTTACCGCTATTGCTACGAACATCGTTACAGCTATCGACACCGAGCGCACAGACGTAATTTGCTCCGTCTTGTCAGAACTCGGAAGCAAGAAATGTAAGAAGACTCGTCCCGTCTCTGGTGTCTTGTCAAAAGAATTTTTAGACTATTTGGTGAAGATGTAATCATTTAGATCTTGATCTAGAATCTAGATAATCTAGATCTAGATTAGATCTAGTCTAGATATTCTAGATCTAGAAGATCTATGCTATCATAGCGCTTAGTCAATCATTGCTTGGCTTAGACTTAGACGTAGGCTCGTAGTATTTTACCAGAGTAAATGATACAAGTCAAGTTGTAAATATGTAAGGCTGAGGACTAAGACTAAGACTAAGAGGTTGTTTTTTTTGGCGCTTTTTCGGTAGTTCCCACCCCGCATTTGTTATTCGCCGGTTTTGGCCCCAAGAGTAGGGGGGTTTCAGGGGGGCTTGCCCCCCTGACATAATAAAAACAAGGTGGGGGGTTTCAGGGGGGCATGCCCCCCTGAATTTTACCACAATTTAATGTTTTGCAGTTGTTAGGTTTGACATCTTAGCTTGCCGCGAATCAAACGTATATATATAGATGTAGATGTAGGTCAGGCTCTATCAAATAAGGGGGGTGGGAACTACCGAAAAAGCGCCGTTTTTTTTACTTTCTCTCCCGTCTCACACTTAGCCGTGTTAGCTACCAGTTGTCCATTTTCTACTAAATATTGATGCACTGAACACGAGAATATCAACTTCATTTCCGTCGCCAATGAATAGTTTTTTAAATATATCTGATTGTTCTTAAAGTACTTAAAGTAGTTAAAGACGTGCTTTGGACCAATCTTGAGAAAGTAAACAATTGCCCAAAATTGACTACTTTGAAAAAGTAGGATACCAGTGAACTCTTCATACGGGGAAGTGGTCACATACCTCCAGTGATCTCGTCACAGATATATCGTCACATTGGTTGGGGCTAATTCGCCCCCGGGGCAACTTCAACGCCACCTCAACCTAGACTTGGGATCATTTGACCCATGTGTCGTTGCGCATTTGATTCTATCTAAAAATAAAATCTGGGCTTCCTGGGCTTCCACTTGTTTTTATTTTTAGTCTAAAAGCTCCAGAAAACTCTGTCTCCGCGTACTGTTCACTCTTAACACATTACACCCTAAGGGTCTGAACGGGAAGTCCATGGTTAGATCCTAAGCAAGGGGAAAGAACCCCCCTCCCGAGAATACTACAAGCCTTTTAAAAAATGCTAAACAAATTGTTAAAATCCTGAAAGAAAAACAGTTAAAACGAAAAATGAATGTAGTTTCAGAAAAATATAACTTTATGTATGCGCCAACTGTTGGAAACGTTCTAACTTTAGTTCAATCGGGGTGTCCGACCCGTCACTCTCACTCTCAGCCTCGCGGTAGAGCCCTAGATCTAAATTCAAGATTTTCTACGTCTGATCAATCTGAATCGTCCCAAACTCTTGCTACAACGTTTTCATCAAAATATGAGTCATCTGATTTTTCATTATATGCTTGTTTTTGCTCAAATCCATCGTTATTTCCTTTTTCAAACTCAATTGTGTCGCTATCAACATATCGAGACACCTTGGAAGTGTCGGTAACGCGATCGCACTTCGTTCAGCTCTAATACTAAAACTACTGGCCCGAAAAATGTTCGTTTCTGTATCAAACGAAAGAAGAAACTGTTTGCAATAACTATGCAAATCAAAATCTCGGCCCCAGAGTCTAGTCAAGGCGAGACTTCGTTTCTAAAGACGCTAGGTCGGCGCGGGCGAGTCAGGGTGGAACGCGCAAAGGAATCCCTGGGCGAGTTAGGGTGTAATGTGTTAAAGCTGGTGCAAATTCAACAGGGCGAAAAGGGGCAACTTCGACAGGGGGTGAAACAAAAGTTAGGCCTTCTATCGGATTAAATAATTGGAAGGGAAAAGAATCTCAGAAAAGGAGGAAAAGAGACAACGGTAAATTTATAGAAAAGGCCCAAACCCATTTTTACGCCAACTTTTTTTACTCGACCTCCGTTTTTGTTTCCGATTGGGTACATAGATCTATGTGTAAATTTGTAAGGCGTTAGGTTGGAATCACTTCTCTCGAAGAGTGCCGTTCACTGTTATTTGGATACTTTTTTCCGAGGAACTCGCCACACGTTTTTCTGCTGTGATGACTTCACCGTGTGAAGAGCTCACTGGTTCCCAAAAAGTATAGGCCTACATCATCAGCACTGGAAATAATAAGACTGTATACTGCATTTTCAACAGTTGCCGTGTCATAAATTTGTTTAGTAATTTTTGTAAGGAGGTGAGAATAAAAAAATTACGATCCAACTCTCACCCCGGGTGAGACCTGCCAGCATTTGCTATTCTCACCCGATGTGAAACAAGACCTCTATTTTTCCTAATTTCTGGATACTGTCAATCGGTGGGGATGATCAAATTGACAAAAACCAAGAAAAAAATTATGTTATAGCACAATAGTAAACTAATTTGGTCGTCTACCATGATGCTACGGCTAGCCTAAATTTCACTTTTCGAATCAAGGCCAACTACATTGGTCGCCCTTTTGTTTCCCCCAGAAATTCTCACTTCTCCTTCTCACTCTCTCTCTCCCTATCTCTTCCCCCCCCTCCTCTCTCTTTCTCTCTCTCTCTCTCTCTCTCTCTCTCTCTCTCTCACTCTCTCTCTCACTGCCCGCTGACAAAATTGCATGCTTTCAACACATAAGCGCTGGAACGTTTGTTTACACTGATATCACAGTGAAGGCACTCTTGGTGAAAAAAACCAAAAGGCTCGCCCTCTCACCCGGAGTGATCTGCCTGAGCAGATACTAAGGGGTGAACACACACTGGGTGAGAATAGCCTGAAGATTTGTCCTCTCACCCCAGGCGAGAGGCCTACAACTGAGCTATTTAGAGGTGGCCTTTTTGTAAAGACAGTAGCCTACAGTATCTTCAAAATGCACTGTTTTTTTGTCTTTTTATTTTGGATTTGAAGAATTAATTGATCGTAGTGAAATCAGGCTCTCATCAATTTTTGGACATGTGGAGTTATTGAGTATCATTTTTAAGCTTAAATTCCTTTGTCTTGGTTTCAAAGAAAAAAATGTTCTCGTCTATCTTGAAAAAGAGTGGAGACCTTTGTATAATTGAAGAAGGTGGGGGTGGCCTGGTTTTAGAAGTAAAATTAGTGTCAACTACAAAATGGCCACCAAAGCGCTGCGACTTCCAAAGCTTGAGAGTCCTTGGATCCTGCACAACCACAATTTTTGTGCCTTTAATAAAATATGTTGAGACAAAAAGTCCATAAAAGCAAAAAACTCATTATGAATTTCCAAAAGAGCAGAAAAATGCCGGTTTCTTCGGTTTCATTATTTTGACAAGCACCTGATTTCACCATGCTGCCTCACATATGTAGGCCTACCCTACTGATGGAAATGGAATTGAGAGTAGTACATGGGTAAATTTATACACCTCTATGTATGTCTACTGTTCAGAAAAGCTGCATTATAATGCATTCTTTTTTAAAATCATGTAGAAGTACTTTTGAGTATTTTTAAAGTACATTTTGAGTACTTTTGAAGCTTAATGAAAGAGTAAGTGCTGGCATTTCTGATCATAATTTACGGAACAAACACCCGGGCGGGCACAGCCGATCAACCAAGAGTTAAAAGTTGAGATCAAAGAACAGCCCGTCTCGTCAAAGACCAGCCACTCTCGTGAATGTGATCACAAGCGTTGTAAAACTCCATGACACGGTACAATGATCCCCAGACGGGATCACACCGAGGTGTGAACTGACCGACGCGTTTCTTTTCCCCAAACATCACACTCGCATCTGAGCTCTCCACCTGAACTCACATCACTCGCTGGCTGGGTAGGGCCTACAAGCTCGCTCCAGGCAGGATCACATCGAACTGTGAACTCTTCCCTGACCATTGAAGTTGAAGGCTGTTTTTCTCTATTCCCGACTTTGCGAGACAGCCTGAATTTTAATTGGTGTGGTCACAGCATAATGGTATGTAACGACAAAGACGGGGGGACTCAATCAGAGATGGAAGGCTACAATTTTTGGACAGGTAAAGAGGAGGGGCAACTGGATAAACGTAGATAAAGATCTCGAGACGATATGCTAATGAGTGTACGGTATAATATTAAGGCATGCCTCATGCTACCCTGCTACTGTGATTGCTCATCAAGGTTGACCGCTCATTGCTCGCCATAAACCCACCCAGGGGTCACGTCAGTTCATGGGTCTCTGTAGATTCTTCCTTGGCTTCGTTGGCTAAGATCCCGTATTTCCCTTGCTCCCAAGCACTGGGATCTTAGGCGGAGACAACTGTAGTAGAACATTTTTGGTTACACTACACTTACTAGACTCTAGGAAATTGCATGTAGGCCTATTTTGGTTTCCTGTGGGCGCCATGGACTACACAGTGTGACCAAAATCTGTCTTACCACTATTATAATCAATTGAAACTGAAACTGAGTTCTCAATGTATATCAATCTATAAATTTTATAGGCTACCTAAATTTCTTTTTAACTTTTTTTTGTGGTTTGTGCTTAAGGCTACATTAATTTCTTGAGGATTTGTTAATGAAGAATCTGATCAGCTGCATGTATTTAGAAATAAGAAAAAATTGTAAAATACGTCATCTGATCAATACTAAGTATACTGCTTTACTAGTAACTAGCTTAATTTTATCAAAACTCGATTATTGTAACTCTTTGTTATCAAGAATATCACTGGAGAAAGTAAAAAAACTTCAAACTGCCCAAAATAATGCTGCACTTTTAGTTTTACGGAAAAGAAAGCGAGACTCTGCTAAACCTCTTTTACGAACTTTGCATTGGCTTCCTGTTGAGAAAAGGATTGTGTACAAGTTGGCCACCCTATGTCACAAATGTTTGAATGATAATGCACCATTATATAATTATCAAATCTGTTAAAACTGTACATTCCAACTCGCAGTTTAAGGTCATCAGCTGATAAAAAGAAATTTATTTTACCATCTATGAAACTTAAAACAATGGGTGAAAGAGCATTTGAATACCAAGGCCCCAAGATCTGGAATGCTTTACCAAGTACTTTGAGAGAGATCAAATCTTTTGATTCATTCAAATGTCAGCTGAAGTTGTTTCTGTTTTTAAATTAATAAGATGAATATTTGGAATAATTTTCATTAGTCAGAACACAACGTTTTATGTTACTGTTGTATGTTGTACTGTATTGTATAGCGCTCAGAGCCTGTGTACTTTATTCGGGGTTGAGCGCTATATAAATGTCATTTATTATTATTATTATTAATTCAATGCACGTTTCCATTTTTTTGGCTGGCCATTTTCATCAATTTTATATTTTCTTAAGAGCAACTTTGTCTCTACATTTTCCCATTTGGATACTTTTCCTACTTTGCGACCTCTAGGACTGACTTACATTTGATCATATTGTCTTGCTCAAACATGTTCTAGTCATGATACCATTTACTAGTTGCGTCTATTTGTTTGCTGGGTGTTTTTTTTTTCAATTTCACGGACCATTTCCACCTACGTTCAGTGCGTATTCAAATGCTTTGTATACTGTTTACATATTAGTAATAAATGGCCTAATTTGTCAAATGTACTAGATATGTTATTCAATATGATGTTTTGCATTAGCACTGAAGTATTTTATCATATTAGCAAAAAGTACTCAAAATGTACTCATAAGTACTTTTTTAAAAAGTACTTGTACTCAAGTACATTTTACAGGAAAGTGCTTTTACTGTACTTAAGTACATATTTTAGATTGTGCTTAAATTTGTTCTTAAGTACCTTTTTAAAAGTACTTTAACAGCTCTGATAATAAGTGTGCAAAGTTTTGTGACTTTATGTCTGTTCTGTCACAGCGATCGTTTGGGAAAACACAATGAAATACCAGATACGCAGGATGATACATCAAAGACAAATATGGGGGGTAGCCAGTGAATTGAAATAGCAGCATCTTAGTAAACCAGGATTGTAAGTGGTGGGATCTAAGGGAGAGACTGAATTTTTACCTTTGCATTTTTGGGTTCTGTTGCAAGACCAGTAACAAACCATCCTTGCTTTTACTTTTATTTCCTGAGAGTTTGAACTTACTTTGTGCCTCATGTCTTAAATTGCATAAAATACAAAGATTTTTTTTCTCATTTTTGTCTTTTTTGACCAGACAATCATGATCCTGACCTCTTGCAGAAAGTCTTAAATGGTCTCCACACAAATTGTGGCACTTTGCTGCACTATGCCACAAAGGTAACCAAATGTGATTTGATGCTCAATGTTGTTACGAAATCCCTTTGAAAGTTTTGTTCATAGTTCAAGGGCTGTGCAATTGTATAATCAATATAGGCTTGTGTTGGATCAGTAAGGAAAAATAAATTGTAAGTTTAATTTTCTGTTTACCAAGAGGAATAGACTTTTTGTGTTTCTCATTGGTTATCTTTACATCCTGTTTTAAAAGTTCAAAAATATTCCACTTCCAGTAGCACTTGCTGTTGTTGCAGCCATAGCCTTTGAGGAACCATCATGTGTGCTCATTAAAACAAATCTTTGATATCAGAGTCTATTAATATTAAATCGTTCATTGAATTGGACTTTTCTTGTCCGCCAAACTTGTGAGAACATGGTGAAGATAGAAACTGATTTAAATGTGAGACATTTTGTATTGTTCATTAATTATACTCAACACTCTGTTTATGAAGGTTTTCTGTTTGTGCCTTCAGAGTGGCAAAGTGGACAAAGTGAGAACCCTTCTAGCTGGAGGTGCTGACCCAGGCATCCAGAACAAAGATGGATTGCTTCCCTTAGACTTGGCTTCTGATGCAATTCGCACTGTTTACAACGAAGAACTTTTGAAAGCTACAGCTCAGTCTAAGTATGTGGTCTGGTGAATCTTCTGTGAAACTTGGTCGCATTGTTTTACGCCACAACCTGAAGATAATGGTATTTAATAGCACCATTCTCACAACAGTGCTAAGAAACTAAAGGGCTACCTCTGCAATGCAATAATGTTGTATTGTTTTTATGTTATAATAGCAAATTTCTTTCACGGGATGGGGGAGGGGGATCAGTAGAAAGTAGTTTCTTAATTTGTCTTTTGTTCTCTTATTATAATTGTTCACTTCGATATGGAATACAGTCTTTTCATTAAAGTGAATCATAAAAATTTTCATTCTGTCTCATATCGCTAGCAATGTGTGTATATGTGTGTATAATATACACATATATTGTTTACTCAATTAATGCATTATATCTGTGGGTTGTTGGCGGGTGCTCTGGTGTGGTTTGTTCCTTCTTTCTTGTCAAACATCTATCGTCCTTATCTTCCCTCCTTCTTTTTTTATGTTAGTCACTCTTTTGTTACTCCTCTAATCTTCTGGCGCTCATATGACCTTATCCAGTTGCGAGCACCGTAAAACTCTTACAAAAACTAAAAAAACCAAAGCATTATATCTGTTCATTTCTGATGGGTATTTTGCAGTTAATGCAGGCAGAACATTTTGAATGTTTTAAACTTACAGCCAACACGCTAGTTTAAGATTGCATATCTCTTACAAAACTGAGATTATGAATAGGATCAGACTTAAATTGCCAAGGGAATTACTATCAAGTTGTGAGTGGTAGCTTTTTTACTAGAGTATAATTCATGACTCTTGTTTTGTGTTTTTTCCTTTTTCATTCCAGCATCGGTAGGGTATGCCAGCTTCTGGCAGCAGGTGTGGACATCCACCTGACGGACAGTCCGGAGATGCTGAACACTCCACTGCACTGGGCTGTGTGCCATGGTAACAGAGACATGGTCCAGTGCCTCTGCGGTGAGAGTCTCTTCTTATCTCCCATTATTTAATGTTTTACCTCATGCTTGAAACTTCAAGTCTTTGTGAGCTTTTTGAAATAAAAAAAAAGTGGGGACATTTTTTTTTGCCTCTGAAAAAAAGAAGAAAAGTAGGTAGAGAGGATGGTCGAAGGGCGCCATTGGTAAGTTCTACTTTTCTCCTATCCCACTTTTGTTTCCGCCTGTCTTTCTTGCTTTTCCCAGCACTAAATGAGAATTATTGTGTCGATGGGCTTCTCTGTACTCAAGCAAGCTTTCCTGAAGAAAGGTAGCCATTCAAAAAGATAACTTAATGAATTATATGGGGACGGGCAGTTTGTGTAGACCATTTGCGGATTTGTGAATGTCTATTGTTTTAACTTGGTACAAATAATTGGTTGGGAGGTACACTCTTGTTTCAATATATGCTGAGAAAGGGATTTATGTTTCCGTGTATGTGGTAGATCACTGATTATGAAATTTAAATTCTATCCCCCAGTCTTCAGAATACTGGTTTTCTGGTTTACAGCTCCCCCACTAACACTCATTAAATATTCACTTACATACACACACACATACTCACACACACATACACAAAACACACACTCTTGCCTTCACACTCACTTATTTCAAAATATTGATGTGTTATTTAATAGATGGGCTTCCCTGTTTCAGCTCGAGGTGCAGACCTTAACATATACAACACACGTGGCCTGACCCCCCTTCATGAGGCTGTGAAACGTGGTGATGCTGGTATTGTGGAGGAGCTGCTCAACTACGGAGCCAATGGCGACTTGCAGGTCACATCAGGGTAAGTGGTAAAAAATTACCCCTCCACTGCCTGTTCGGAGACTGTTTTGGGCTCTTTGGTGGGATTACAGAGTAGGCCTGACGGGAAGTGAAGGGTTTGATATAGGATATGATGCAATTCTCCCGTCGAAGAAATGAGTTTTGTGCTTTCTCCTGCTTTTTACATCCCCTGTTATAATTGTATTGTTGCGCACACACACATACACACACGTACATGCACATACAAACACACACGCACACACCCATGTGCATGCACACACAAACACATGTGCACACACACATGCACACACATGTGCACTCTCACTCATACGCATACATGCACTCGCACAGACATACACACACATATGCACTCGCACATACACACACACACACACACACACACACACATGTGGTTAGAGAGCTTTCTGGTGTAATTAGCCTGTGTCTTCTTCTTTTATTCAGCGTTGCTTATGTGTATGACAGGCACATTGCCTCTCTTAATTTTTCTAGCCCATCGAAGAACACTTAGCACTTGATACCACCTACATGAGATACCCACCAACTAAACTCCAAATCAGGCCAGACTCTTTGCCATGAGAGGTAAACTTGTTTTGCCTACTTAGCTCTCATTTGTTATTTTAATTAACATAAACAGGATCAGTCAGAGTGAAATATTGTGCTTGTTTTCTTGTGTTATTACTACTGAGTTAAATCATAAGTAATGTTATGTTTGAAATGGTCAGTGTTTCCGTTGTCTCTCCTTTGGTGGCAGTGAGAATGTGGGTCAGACAGCTGTGGACATGGCTGAGGGTAAGGAGTCTGTGATGCAAGTGTTCCGAGCCCCCAGAGAATTGCCCGAACCCATCAGCAACATGAACCACTACTTTGGTAAGCTTTTCTCCCTTTTCATATTTTATGTTGCTTGATTTAGACCCAAGGCTCTGTTCCAGATATGAATAAAAATCAACTATTTTTCATCATTATTATTATTACTGTTATTATTATTATCATCCCCACAGTATGGCTCCAAAGTTTCTATGTGTTTTCAAAGTTTCACAGTAGACTTAAATTGTGTGGGTGGTTGGATGGCAATGCCAATGAAAATTTAAATTTTCACTTTAGCCCTTTTTATTTTGGTACCTGAGAAAGAATTTTCAAATCTAAGAATTATGCTTCTTGAATTTTAAGAATCGGTTCATAAATAAAAAAGTTATGGGGTTGTAAAGGTCGGCAAAATATGGATGACCCACATATAGGAAAATACTCCTAAAAAGTGGACCACGCAGTAGCAGATTCTGTAAGAAAATCGACGATATCTCGGTAACTAATCGGAGTGTTCGAGAGAAACTTGGCCACCCGATGTGTTTTTGAGTGTAGAAATAATTTCTGCAGTCAGATTTACTACCAATTTCGTAGTTATTTTGTTATAATTAAAATTTTGGTGCACATATTACGATTTTGCGAAAAGGGGTGTCGGGATGAGTCCATTTTATTTATAGCATCGTATCACAACATGAGATCTTTAAGAATATATGTCGGCAGCGTGACTAAATAATTGCAAAGCTTTTTATGATGACTTTAAACCATGCTAACCGTAAAAGATAAGTTAATTCAATCTAGCATGCCGTACAATTAAAAATTCTTTTTCCCCGTTGAGACGCGAACACTCCGAGACGAGATAACCTCGCCTCGGAATACCCCCATTGCGATGTTACAGGGGAATAGAGAGAAAAACAACTGGATGCGCGCGCCCGCCATTGCCCTATTTCAAGTGACCAATGAACGGGCCCGGAATAGTCATGCGGGGATTTGTAGGTCACACACATTTGCCACGAGAGTGAGGGGAAAATGGCCGGTCTCCGTGCGAAGCCGCTTTGGATAGGGGAGTAGTCGTGCATTTATGATCGGGTCTAAACAACTACTTGACACAGAACGTTCAAATTTGAGCACACTATAGAGGATAGATAGATCTATTACCATCTCGGCGTTGAAATTCAAACTCCTTATAGTTTTCGGTGTACACGATACGAAAGTGTTCCCGACACCAAAAGTATAGGTTAATTTATGTGTACGAACTTCAACATCCACATATCATTAGTTGGCCCTATTTTCTGATTGGTTGCCGAGTTTCATTCGGATTGGTTCGGAAATAGAGCAGACCGAGGTTGACAAAATTAGTCACCTACGCTTCGGCCGGGTCCGCAAAATCGCCCGTAAACGGGGACCAAATTTTCGCCGCGCGGGAAAGCCCGATTGGCATTGCTAGGTTGGATGTGCTCTGGTGTGATGTACTCCTTTTTTTATCAAACATCTATCGTCCTAATCTCTCCCCTCCTTTTCTTTGTATGTTACTCTCCTGTAATACCTTTTACCTTGGGCACTTGAATGATCTATTTGTGTTGCAAGTACCGTAAACTAAGATACTAAAACCTTCGCAAATATTTTTTTCTAGATAGCAAAGCAAACCTGGTACGCTTTGACAGTCTTACCTCAACAGACAGCATTTTGGGCAATGGAGATGAGACCCTGTCGTCACCAAAACTTACTGTGCCAAAGGTAACCTTAAGATATTGTTAATTACTTTGTTGGTGGGTGCCATAAAAGGACATGTGGTTGACTACTGCTCAAATGTAGTCTGCTCATTTTAGTTCTTCCCTGTGTTTCTATAGTCCTTGTCTTTCAGAATGAAATATGGCCCTTTTAGTGCTTTGTCACAGTTAAGTATAATTGAACAGCAGTATGTGGTTGATACATTTCTCTAAATGTGCAAGTCCATCGAAGGAATTTTCTATGAGAAACAAAATACTAATTTTAGGTTTATTCGGATGTCTTTCGTTGGAGTATCATATTTCATGAGAAAAATACAATTTCATGAAAGGAATTTTAGACAAGAAACAAAATACTGATTTTTACCTCACTTGGCTACCTTTTGTTTGAGCATCATATCCCATGATAACAATACAGTTTCATCAAAGGAATTTCTTATGAGAAACAAAATACTGAATATTTGTCTCGCTCCAATGCCTTTCATTAGATCTTATGATAAAAAGAATTACAAATTCTTTGGTTTAAGCTTTGTTTGTTTGTGTTGGTATACAGGACGAGGAGTATTCATCTGTGGGGCTAGCACAGCAAAGAGACTCGGAAAATGTTTCACTTAACCATAGCTTAACCTGTTGAATTTTAGAAATGAGCAATAGACAACTGCTATGCTTGTGAACCACCTGCATATTATTATCCAGAATGAGAGCACACTCAAGCTTATACACACTTACACGCCGTTCTTTTTTTCCTCAGGCGAATGGTAAAGTGAGATTTGAGACATCCAGTCCTCTCCCTTCACTGGTCACTGACGAGAAGCTGTTCTTGGTGTGGCCGGCTATGCAGGTGGTTAAACAAGGGGGAGGAAACCCTTTCACCATCAACAAAGCTCTTCCTGTTTTTGTCTCCCCAAACCATGATGCAGGTTGGTGATTTAATGCAACAAATGTGTGTGTGCCTAAAGAAAGGTACCAAAAGTTAGATTTTGACTATTTTGAGTTAAGGGTTGTACCTTACAGGAAATTCAATGCTGAACACGGGGGTCTTTCAATTTTTAGATATCTCAAGTAGTTTTTGAGATATTGCACATTTTGCGAGGTAGGGTATAAAGAATTTTGAGAAAATTAGCTTTTAAGTTTAACAAACGTGAGAACACATACAAAAATTATTTTTTTTAAAGATTTTTTTAATGTATTTATTCATGGAAAATTCATGTCCAATTTGGCATTCAGTTGACATCAATATTATGAATAGAATTCAATGGTAAAACAGCAGGGAAGAGAAAACGTGCTTCAAGATTAGATTTTAACACCTTTGGTAAGCAGTTTCCATTATTTGTTTTTATTATACCCTGCTCTCAATATAATTCAAAATAAAATATTTTGAAGTCAAATCAATGAAAACCCTTTGAGCACATTGTAAAAAAATGGTGGATCTATCTTCTTTTTTTAAAAATAGAAACACATTTTGGTCAAAAAAGGGATTTTTGTCATTATCAGTCTGTAGCTCGAAGCGGTCTGGGGCGACTTTTGTTACTTTTCTCTAGGCGCACACACAAACGTCTTTCTCCCTAAAATGTGGTAATGTAATGAGGGTGTTATTTTAGTTAATGATCAACAAGATGTTGTTAGTCGCCTGTAATGACAAGACATGACTTTTGTAATATAACACTTTTCAGTGCTTTGATGCTTCCTTGTGACTTTGTATTCTGTTATTATGGCTATATGTACAACATTTTTAAGAATCTCCTTTGGGGTTAACATAGTTTGAAATGTTCTTGGATTTATATGGCAAGACTAGAGTACCAATGCACAGAGAGAGAGAGAGAGAGTGTCACACTGTGGAGATACGGCTATGCTAAATCTGAAAGTGATTATTGTTTCACTTTTACACTGGGTCTATAAACCAACTGTAAGCTACTCAGTGATTTTGGAAACCACTCTCCCAGTTGCATATCTATTGCTCATATTCCTGAACTCAGTTCAATACAAAGTGAAATCTATAATCTATTTTTTTTTTTTATGCTACTGTTAAAAATTGATAATTCAAAATAAACAGAAGAATTTATGCTTGTTGGCAGATGTCTACAATAGAAAGGTTTGTTTAGCCAGCTCAGCTGTGAGGTCATTAGGGATACTTAGTGTGGAGGGCATGATGAATTTATTTTATTGAAAGGATCTCTTTGATTATTGTTTAAAGCAACATTTGAGCTAAATCAAAGCAAACCATTTTGTGGTCCTCAGTATCAAAAGGAAGAGATCACACATTTTAGAGTGATTAAAAAATCTCAGTGTAAAAACTGAGCCCTAGTCTCTCAAACTAATCTAAGCAGTCAAGTATTAGGCAGCTCGCGTTTAAAGAGTTAAGACATGTCTTTAAAATAGCTTCTTTGATAGGTTGGTTCCTTTCTATTTTCCATCTCGTGTCTTTTGGAGACTGGTGGCTTGTTGTGTCTTCATGTAATGTTAGTAAAACTGTAGAGAGGGGATGGGAAAGAGAAATAATGAAGGAGAAAAATAGAGAGGAGGGAATGAAAGGATCACTATTGGAACTATGTTCTTTTTATTATTGTAAAGCACTCTGGTCACTTTCTTTGTGGAAAGATATATAAATGCAATTCTTTGAAATTACTATAATTTGTAATTACCCATCTGCAGATGGTGGACTAAGAAAAATCTAAAGATATCTTTCTCATTGATGCATCATCTTGCTGGGCAGTCAGATCTATTTTTTTCAGGATTTAAAAAAAAACAGCGTTGGTTGAATTAGTTCATCACAGGTCATAAAATTTTGGTGAATACTGCACTATCACTCTCATCTTTTGTGATAGAACAGTGCCTACTATGGTTCCTTTGTCAATCTCGTCTGAAATTGAATTATTCTTTTGATGCTCATATTTTTCCTCAGCCAGTGCAGGTGACATGGCATACTTGTGGAATCTGCGTCGCCCACTTTTGGAATCTCTTGGCCTTGACATTTCCATCAATCTCCTGACGCCGTTGGCTAACCTGGATTCACCTCACATCCTGTGCCACCTGAATCCTCGACTGAGTCCTCAGCCCGGTTTCTACCGGTTGACTGTGACTCCAAAACAGGTGAGAAGGAGGCTCATATTAATGATAATAATAATTACCGTTGTGTTCTGCCTTTTTTTCTTTTTAATTGTTAAACAAACCATGAGGTGGAGGTTTCAGAATCAGCCAGATCATTCAAGCTACAGGCTTAATGTCAGAAAGGTCATATTGGGTATAAGAACCAAGGAAATCTTACATTTCAATTCGACCTACCCTCACTTCTGAACCCTGCCCATATGTTGATCCATCTGCCGCAACTGAATTCCAGGCTCTGAATCCTGCACTGTGGAACTTGTAGTCACAAATGGACTAACTCAATACAAATGAAAAATTGCACCTTAAAAAGCTTACAAGCTTATTTCTCAAGCAAAAATTATTTTTTTAACCAATGGAGTAGTTAACTCTTGTCATTCTACAAAGAATGTTATCTCAGGTAAGCAAGACTTATTTATTCAAAACTGTTGACTTTCAGAATGTGTGAAAACGAAGATACTTCTTAATCTGAAACTTACCAAAAGAATTGTATTCCACAGATCAAGATCCTTTGTGGGAGTCTAGAGAGTTTGAGCTATGCTGTGTCAACAGTTTTGCACTTGATGACCTTGTACAAGGAAGAGGAGTCCATTACTGTCCCTTCTTTGTTGGTGAGGCCACAATGTGGTGTGTTTGTGGTTGTACATGCATGCATGTGGGTGGTTGAATGACAGGTGCTCTGGTGTGGTTTTCTTCTTTTTTATTCAAATATCTATCGACCTTATGGAGGATTTTTATGGCCACTTGGTAAGTATCTAACTTAAAGGAAAAATGCACTGATTTTTACTCTGAAATTTCTTTAACATGATGATATTCATTGTTAATGCTGGTTCTTTTTTAGTTTTAAATTTGGCAAAATGATTCTGTCCTCTGCAGAGAGAAGCTTTGTTGTGCATGCATGCATGCATATGTCTAATCGGCAGTATAAAGTGGCCTTTGCACTGTAAAGGCAACCATGACTATGTTTCTTTATGTGCCACGTACATGTGTTGGGGAAACTTGGTTTGGTTTTAGATTTATATGCGGTAATCCTGGTTATGAAAAAGACCCAGTTTGTCTGTTTATATGGAATTACATCTGGATAGGGTGATTTAAAATTCTGTAATTTTTTATTTTTTTTTAATGTAGATGTTTTTATGCCCCTATCAGCACAGTTTAGATCATTTAGGAAGCGGGCTTCGACCCTACCTGCCGGGCCAACCCAAGCTGAGAGAGGTGCAACGTCCCAGCAGAAAGACTGACATACTCAATAAAAATTCTCCCTTCCCAGGAATCAAACTCTGGTCTCCTGCTTGCTATGGTGTAGCACTTATCCGCTACACCTCAGACACTGGTGGACAGAGGTTGAGCTAGCTCACACATCACATTTCTAATATCGAATCAATGTCACATTTTCTATTCCAGAGAGTAGCTGCTTGATAATTGTTTCATTTAGTTTCATGCTTCAGGACTGTTTTGAGTTCATCACATTGATATTCAGCTTTTTTTACCATTCAAAACTATGACTGAATTTGAAAAACGTTTTTTTTTTTCAGATTGAAGACTGGCCAGACTTGGCTTATCGGGGTGTCTTGTTGGACGTGTCTCAGGGTAGGATCTCTCTTATGGTATGTCCTTTTTCTCTTTTTGTGCTGTTAACCCAGTCGGTAATAAATCTAGACTTTGCCTCCCGTGATTTTGGTTTGATTCCTCAATCTAAGGCATTCTTGAACTTAAAACTTTTGTCTGGCAGTCAGACTAAACTGGGATGACATATTTGGGAATCAAACTTGAACCTGTCCTCTTAAAACGTTACTGTTTTGAGGAGCATTATATGTTGATTTGTATAGTTGGAAATTTTATATCTATTCATGTAGGGGGTTCTTCATTGTCCCTGTCCATCGTATTTTTGTTTAGGTTTTTGTGTGTGTGTTTTTCTTTGTTGTTCCACTGTACTTGTTTTCAACTAAAGCATTTCGTAAATAACTTATATTAAGAAAAGCAGGGCATTAAACTTGCTCATTTACACAATTCAGTTTTGTTCATCATCATGTGTATTAATTGCAAAAAGCATTGATTTTTTGTTTGTTCTGTCTACAGGACAGCTTAGAGGAGTACTTGGACACACTGTCACTACTCAAGATCAATCAGGTACATCCATCATCTGCGCCCGAACTCTTGAATTGAAAAATGGTTGGCAACAACGATCCCTATATGCTATTTATGTTTTTGTATGGTGTATTGAGTTTTACCAAAATGTTGCAGAAATTCTCCTTGCAGTAGCTGTGATGTCTTTTAATAAATATTTCGAAGGCTCACTTTTTAAGGTGAACAAAGTTATAAGCTCTTTGTCTACTGACTAAAAGAATGCGCTGCCCATGCTCTCTAACAAAAAATGTTGAACCATTGATGTTGAGTGTAGATGGACAAATCATGGGCAATGACAGAACAAAGTTTTGATAACGTTTTAAAAAATTTGAAAGTGCAGGGGTGATATCTGCTCTTCTGACTCTTCGCAAGATGTTAATTGTCATAACGTCTTTGGTAGCATGGTTTTTATATTGAAAAATATTCTTCCCAGAAGAATTATGATTCCCCTACTTAATATTTACATTACTAACTTCGTACATTACATAAGACTGACATAATTTGGGGGGTAGGGGGGTTGTATTTATCAAAATGTTGACACTCAAGTACGGCCAACCCTGTAGCTGAGTGATTTTCATTACATCAGTTTGGGGATCAAGTTCTAAATTGTGTATAAAAAGTTAATTCTTTGGCAGTATGTCCTTTACAGTCTTCTTTTCTCCTCTTTACAGGTTTATTTGTATACAAGATTTCATTCCAATCTGCCACCACAGTGGCAGTGTCCACATACTAGAAGGTGAGTGATGCATTTCTGGCCTTTCTGGAGACATTATTTTTCAGGAAGGATTGACAGTTCTGATTTTATGAAAACAACATTAGTTACTTGACAAGAGGAATTCTGTCATTGTTCGCTTTATGGTTTTGAAGGAAATAATCATCTTTTATATATTAGGTTTGTTATGGCTTAAATATGATGATAATATACCTAAACGTTTTTTTTAGGATTTGAAAATGTTATCGTTGCCATATCTAGTTTTGTTACTGAAGAGTTAAAGAGAAAGAATGGACGTGATAGTTGTCATTTACTGATGCACACTGGCTGGTAGATTGCAATGGGACTTAAGTCTCCCGACATGTTTCTATAGGATGTTAAAAAGCTTTCTTTGTTCTGCCCAGGACATATGTTTAGAATTGTTTTGTATGTACTTCTATGGTCTCCCGGCTAGTAAGTGGGAGATGACAATAGGCCCACTGCACACCAGCTGGAGGTGCCATGTCTCCGGTGATGTCCTAGCATATGTGAATATCTTTAATTTGATGCACATGTGTGATATCTACTTTAGTGTTTGGCCTTTGCTTTCTTTCATTCCTTTTTCATTCTTCTTTACCCTTGCTGCTGGACCAAATGAAATGGTCTGTTCATGTCTAGTATGGTGACATGTATTTGTGTAAGGTGTTGACTTCTATTTAAAAGGAACAAATTCTGTTCCCAGCTCCACATTGTGTCCTTAAGAAAAATGCTTGACTCTATTTTCTTCAGTTCAAGCAGGTTTGAATGGGTACTTGGTCAAGGATAGAGACAGAGTATGTAGATAATAGAAATGTAAACTTCACTGGTTGCAATGTTGCTAGACTTATAAGGTATATTAAAGTGAACTGGCCAGCCAACCAAAGGGTTTCTTATGTAGTTGACTGAGACTTCCCGCGGAGGGCCTACATGACTACACTTTACCTTTATTTTATATAGATTGTAAAGCGCGTAGAACTTGCTGGTGAGCGGGGATGTACTATGCAAATGCTATTTAATATTATTATTATTATTATTATTATTATTATTATTATTATTATTATTATTTTTATTATTATTATCATTATTATTATCATAATGATAATAATTATTATTATGAAGACTCAGACAAAAAGAAAAGGAATGTTTTGTCGAATGTTCCCAGTGAGGTTCTGCACCTGTCCGAGTTCTGTCACAAGCGCTACCTGCAGCTGGTGCCGGTGGTGGAGGTGGGACCCAAAGTCCTGTGGGAGGACCTGCCCAAGCTCTACCCGGTCTTCCAGGACTTCCTCGCCTGTTTCCCACATGCACAGTCAGTACTTGACCTTTGACCTGTCAGACTTCTTGACATAGTCACGTTCTTATGTTCTCATGATATTATGATCTCAGAAGTATTGCAGTTTATTTACAATGCACTGTCTCAATTTGTTTATAGATAGCTTTACTTTGTTCATAACTGAAATAGAGTTTTATTTTTTCAAAATTCGTAAAACATTCTGTACAACATTACTATGTGCATACACATCATGCTTTTCTAACATATATTCATACATTTTGCCCACACGTTAGCAGAAAGGAAAAAAAAATTAAGAAAAGATTACAGTCATTGTATTGGAATGCCTGGGGGTTTTAATGTGAAGGCAAAAAAAAAAAAAGAAAACATCTATATTTGAACGTAGTTTTGTTGGTAAAGAGATTAAATGTGGGTGGGACTTTGGCTTTATTATTGGGGGTGTTGATGGAAGTTTAGAAAAGAATAATTTAGAAAGTTTAAGAAATGTTTCTAATCCTGGTGATATCCCTTGAAAATATGTAGGTTCTAGTCAGAGAATGATCTGATTGTAAATATATTGGAACATGGCTAGAATGAGATGATCCTTTATCCTTTAGTGTAATAATGGAACTTATTGTATGCGAATCTTTTCCAGAAGTTGTTTCCTCCTGTTTTCGTATTGTTGTTTTTATTTTCATCAATTTCTTTTTGTTTTTTTATATTGGATATATCGTCACCTGACAACTATTTTGTCCAAAGTGAACTCTATAGTTAAGTGCACTATGGACAAAGTAATTCTGAGGTGATGCTATGCCAGTGGTTAGTAGTGCTCATATGTCATTTCCACCTTTTCTGTTCTACAATTGTTGTGTTCTGGCTATGGTAGTCTGTATTTTTACTCCTCTGATAAAATTAATGCTGTAACATGGTTTTTTTTGCTCATCTTGCTTCTCTTCTTTCACTTTTGTGTGCCCCTTTCAGTTTGTTGACTCTCTCGCTCTCCTCTGTGTTCTGTATGCCACAATTTATTACTTCTATCTTCCCTCTACACCATGACTTTTTTAAAATTATTTTTTTTTCGCTGTATTTTTTACTTAAATTCCACTTATCAGATTTGTGAGTGCTGGCCCTCGTTTGAGTACCTTCCTCCTCGACTCTTCCGAAGATAATCTCAGTGTTGGTGATGTGCAGCGGTTTTTGCCAATTGCATCGAATCAGACTTTGCAGGTAAAGTGCTGTTTTTCAGTATAAAATAACAGTTTAAAAGTGACCCAACCAATTTATTAGAGCAGGTGCTTGAAGGGCGCCACTGATAGTTCAACTTCTTTTCTTCCCCCCCCCCCCTCTCTCTCTCTCTCTCTCTCTCTCTCTCTCCCTCCATCTCCCTCCCTCTCTCTCCCTCTCTCCTGCTGTCTCCCTCTCTCCCCATCTCCCGTTTCCTCTCCCTCTCCCTCACCCCCTCCCTCTATGTGCTAAATGACCATTGTTGTATTGATATACTTCTCTTTACGCCAACAAAACAAGCAGTTTGTTAGACATATCAAGACTTCATTTAGCTTCTGGTTTTCCTACTCATTTTATAATTCGTTTTCTGCTTTTCCTGTCTTTCTTTCTAAATCTTTTATCTACGTACATGCTCAGTTTTGATTTGTGTGTCTTTCATAAAAGTGTGTAATTCTCAAAATGTATGTGGATCCGTTATGTAAAGAGGAGTTCTCAACTCATCAATTCAAATGCCCATTTTGGAGCAGTTTTTAGAGAATGTTTTTACATTATAACAAAATGATGACAGAAGAAAAAAGACTAAGTATCCCTCCCCCACATCCCATTGCTTTTTTTAACTCTCTTGCTTATCCATGCACAAAAACATACTTGAAAACACTCATACTAATGCACACACTCACTCACACACCCACAAGTATGCAACCTCCACTCACCATTTCTTCATTCCTTCATCCTGCGATATATCTTAAGCAACTGAACTGATTTGCTATGTAAAATATCTCCCATTAGTGGGAATTGAACTCATTATCCTTTGCATGCAGAATGAAGATCTGAGCTATTTCCCCTTAGGCACCAGTGCTGAGTCACCTTCTACCCAGTGCCTATTGGAGGATCGGTTCTCTAACATAAACCGATCGCCCGACTCGCGGCCTTGAAAAACAAATGTGTTTGTTTTTTATTGTCATCGTCGGCTTCATTTGGTTTGTTGCGGATGGTTGCTTTACGCCCTCAATTTGGCGAGCCCCGCCTACAAAACTGAACAGAACCGAACCGATCATGACAGTTGGCACTGGGTATTGTCAGACTTCTTCTCAATTGTTACAAACTATTGTCCGCAGCTGTGTGGCTACCCGCTTCATGACCTGGGCACGTCCATGTTGCAACAACTACCTCCCGGCATTGTGTTCAAAGAGTATGCTGTCAAAGTAAGTGCTGGGGACCTTTTCCCACAAGTGCTCCTCTTATTGCTAATATTGTTTTTGTAAGGCCACTGATCACAATCTCGATCATGAGTCCTTTAACCCTTCCCGAGGTCACAGGGTCGCTGCATTGTTGAACATTGCACCAGCTGTCCCCTCCTCTGACAGTCATAGGGAAAGTGCTTGGGTTCTGACATAACTTTTCCCTCTCCACTTGGCTATGTTATCCATCCATCTCTGTCTCTGCCTGCCTTTGACAGAGAGGCTAATTTAGTATTGCTGCTGAGTACAATTCAGTAATTGGGCTGTTTGTCTCTTGTGGCTTTATTTTTTTCCATTCTTTTAAATACTTTGAATGTCTCTGTATGTTCACATTACACCTCATACATACACAATCCCCTCCCTATGAATTTTTTGTCCTTTTGGAATGCTCACTATATTAGGAAGACACCAGAAAGAAATAATCAAATCAGGATTTCTTTGCCTCCCACACAGCAGATAAGTATTTACAGTTTTGTTACAGCTTGTTAGAGAATAGATTTTACTGGCCTAGTGCAAGACTACTAGTTCAAGTTTAAAGGATAGACATTGTGATAATTTGTTTTGTTCATTCTCAGTTGAATTTATTCTTCTTGTATCATGAAATAAAGACTGTTCACCTTGAATTCTTGTACAAAAATATCCTCAACCCTCAGATAGACAAATATCAGCTGTTTATGTGTGCATTCATACGAGCCCAAACTTCAATTTTGTCCAGTCATTGTTCTTTCTGCCACAAGAGGGAGTTGCCTCAAAGCAACAGGTTTCTCCTAGAACATGGCAGATACATAAACCCTCAGGGAGATTGCTAGAGGTGCAGGTGATACAAAGACCTCATCTGCATGCGATTCCTCTTCCACATGTCATGGTTTACAATTGAAACTCATATTTATTTTTCTGTAAAAGAATTGGGAAGAAAACGGTGCAGTTTACTTTTACTAACCTCATTTTGGAAGCCGTTACCATATTTTACATTAAGACTATGTTGAGGAAAGCAATTCAGGGCTAGTATAGACCTCTTGTGTGAAACTGTTACTATATTTTACTGAACAAATTTTTTGTGAACGCGCTCTTCACTATTTCTTTCCTGTCGAACAAAGTTAATGCAGTATCTCTAACTGTTCCAATCAAACACTAATCATCCTTATCTCGCCTCCTTGTATTTTGTGTTTGTTACTCTCACATAACACCTCTAATCTTTAGCTCTTACATGACCTGATTGTCTTACAAATAATGTTAAAACTCTTACTAAAACAAAGAATGCACAAACTGAACTAGTTTGCTGTGAACTAACTCTTCACTATTTCTTTTCTCTTGGTATGTGGATGTGTTGTAGTATTTCTACTGTGCACCGTTAGTGCCCATTAAACCAATGTCTTTTTTACCATGTGTTTGTTACAGGCTGACCATGACTACAGCAAGTACTGTGCTCCTCTTGCTCAGCTTGGGTGAGTCAATGCAGTGTTACCCCTTATCCTTGTTTTTACTTCAGCTTCTCTGGAAAAAATGTTTTCACCATCGTCATCATTTTTCATATCACTGTGGTGCAAGTGGTTAACAGGCTCTCTTGGGTGTGGTGTACTCCTTCTGCTTCTTTTCAATGTTGCTTTTTCCCTTATCTTTTTAGTTGTTTTTTTAAAGGGCTTTAAGGCATTTGCAACACAAATAAGTCATGTAAGTGTCAAAGATAAGAGGTGTTATTAGCAGAAAGTAACATACAAAGAAAAGAAGGAGAGATAAGGATGATAGATCTTTGACAAGAAAGAAGAGGCAATCCACTCCAGAGCACCCGCCAACCACCCACTTGTCTTGACCTATTACAAGTCAAATGGGACTGTTATTGTTCTGACTTGCAGAGAAAAACAGTTCAATAACAACCATTTTAGTGTATCAATATCTCTGAATTTCATATTTCCTCCATCTACTTCAATACTGCACTCGGAGTTGGTTAGCATTCGCACTGGTGTGGTTTGCTCCTTCTTTCCTATCAAACATCTACCATCCTTATCTGTCCTCCTTCTTTTCTTTGTATGTTACTCTCTAGTAACACCAAATCTTCGGTACTAAAATGAACTATTTGTGTTGCCAGTGCCATTCTACTCTTACTTAAGTCACCTGAGCCTGAGCTATTTTTCACCCAACAGCCATTTCAGCCTGACACTTTTGGGGTATATTGAAGCGGTAACCACAAAATGACTGTGAAAGCTATCATAATTTTTGTTTGTTAATGCAACAAGAGAAAGAAAGAAATGTTCTCAAAGAAAAAGAAAACTGCATGTAATTTGTCCAAATAGTTTGTATTTTATTAATATTTTGAAATGGCAATAGCTGGGGGCTACGTAATTTTTGTTGCGCCCATTTATAATAAAATCATCTATCGCAATGCAGGGGAGACTGACTTAGTTTGTTACAGCTAAAAAAATATCACACATAACTTCACCAAATTTTGAATGAAATGAAACAAGTGGGTCCACTGTTGGTTCACTGCTACCCGTAGCTTATAACCGAAAAACACCAGAGGTATCGATCTATAGGGCACATCCTGTAAATACGCAGGATTAGGCCACTGAGCCGCGGGACGTCCCGTAAATGCATGAGAATAGGTTCAAGTGAACTCTATTTTTTATTATACAAACATGCTTTTATGTGTTTCATTTTTCAAAGTTTTTATGATTGTTGTTCATCAGTATGAATACATACTTGTTTTCTCTCCACAGCATCAATTACTTTGTTTGTCCCGGCACTGCTGCATGGAACAGGTAAGCAAATATTTTTTTTTTTTTTCTGTAGTAAGCTATGTGGGTTTAACACCAGTATTAACACCATAAGGTTATTTAGAAGGTGAAACCTCCGAATTTAACGTTCATGTCCGATAAGACCAAGCCAAATAGGTTGAGAGCCTTGAAAATTGCCCAAAACATCTTGAGCTAAAGAATGCCTCGTCTGAGATTCAATCCAGGGCTATCTATAAATGGAGTGCCTTTTTTTGTGGATATATCATATGAGATGTTTCCAATCCAGTTCTATTTTATGGTTGTGTGATTATTTTTATTATTTTGTTGTGGTCATATGGCACTAGTTATAATTTCATCATTTCTAAAGACATCATTATGATATGTAGAGTAGATCCCTTTCAATCCTTTTTTCGGTTGCTATGTCGTCTTCTCTTGCTCCTGACTCAGGACAGGTGCATTGCTCTATCTGACATCTTTTATTGAGATTCTCTCACTACAGCATAGGAGTACTCAGCACAGAGTAGTTTTAGAAATTTCAGAGATGCTGGATTTAATTTTTTCTGAATTACCAAGGGTCTCATCATATTTAGACAAAGCACGTAAAAGTTTGATCTTGAAAAAAAAGAAGTAATTGTATATTTTGTTTCATATGAAAATGATTGACAATGATAACTGGTATTGAACAGTTTCCTGTTTATTTTGTTAAATAAAGAAACCTTTTACATTACTTCCTCTCTTCTCAGTTTGGCTGGTTGCCCAGAAGCTGCAGTCGGCAACATTTTTTCAGCTGCAATGAATAACGAAGGAGCTTTAGGCATGGTGGTCTGTGACTGGACAGGCAAGGGACATCTGAACCACCAGCTCTTCTCCTGGCCCGGCATCATCACTGCTGCTGGACTGGGCTGGAACAAGAACACACAGAAGGTTGGGTCACTGATTCTAGACCGAAGCCACTCTAGCCAAAGTTCCAGGAATTACAAAATGTAGAATAATCTGTCTAGTCTCTGTTTTCTTTCAGGTTGCAGGAAGAAGGGAGGAGCATGGATGGGAGGGATTGGTGCGGTCTGCTCTTTTTTTTTGGTCTGTTCCATTATGTTACTCTTTCCTTACCTGTCACCTGTCATCAAAGTTAGGTTTGTCTGTGGTGCAACAGGCCTCTAACTTCCCCAATCTTTACTGTGATGTATTATTTACTGAAGTTGTAGACCAATGCGGATTGTACATTATTGATGTATGATGTAGGCAGTCTTTCCTTATTTCTCTTTTCATCTTTTTTATCTTGCAGCACAGTTATCATCAGGTCTGTTTTTATGTTTCTGTTTGTGTTATCATATTTTGAGTCTCTTTTTGCTGATCTTAGAAAACATACTAAGCGGTGTATCAAGTTGTTTCAGAACACTTTCATTTGTTCTTTATCTGTCTGTTTGACCTGAAGCAGTCTTTTATAAAACTTCACTTCTGCTGCTTGGATTCTATTTTTAATCTTCCTTTTTTAATGCCCAGGCCTCACTCCCATATAGAACTACTGGTCATATAAGAATTTTCAAACGTGGTACTCTGTCTTTCCATATGTTGATTATTTATACCATCTTTGGCTTTGCCAGTGTGTACTCAACATCTTGCACACTCTGTTACATGCAAAATATAGATTTTATTTGGGGGGGGGGGGGGGAATGTTTGATTTGATCTACTCATTGCTCGTTCTTCTTTTCTGTGTTACTGTTAATACTGTTTTCCTAATCTGTTTCCAGTGAAATATAGCCTTTATTGTGCTGATATGCTGTGAAATTTGACACAGCATTCCTATTCAACGACTTTTTTTTTTTTTTTTTTTGCAGGACTACTTGGAAACTTCATTACCAGCTCTGCTAAACCAGTACGTGTTCCGGGATGTAGAGGGCGCTCTTGGTAGTGTGGTCATGGAGTTGGGTAGGGCCGAGACATATGCCATTCGGCGGTCACGGAATCAGCCAGGTGAGATAATTGAAAGATGAGTCAAGTTCATTATGCCACACCAATAGTAGTTTCTGGTAATTTTGAAATGCATGGAACATTGCAGGTTTATTTCGGTTTTGTTACCAAGATACGGTATGATTGGTATAATTATGTTTTATATATTTGAAAAAAAAAGCAGGGAATTCCATCTGGATATTTATTTTGACCTATGATATCTTTAGTTGGATACATCCTTTTTTTCTGCTGCTGGCCTTGTACCTGGAACTCCTTTGCTGGGGCTCAGTCAAAGATGGTTGTTGCTTAAAGTGTATACGCATATATGAAAATCATTTTGGTTGAGGGTGATTTTACCCTTCACTTAATTTGGCTGGTTTGGGCAAACTAGTACACTGATGACAATCGATAATTTTACCCTCAAATGTTTTTTTTGGAACAACGCCTTTGAAGTTTGGAAGACATGCAGAATTGATAATGCCTTCAGTACGTCACTTAAGCAATACTTGTACTTGCCCTTCATGACAGTTTTTTTTTCTGTGTAAAAGTTTGGATTAATGAAAAAGAAAATATATACAGTCGAACCTACTTTAACGGCCACCTTTATCAGACAATCACCTGTACAATCAGCTATTTCCCGATTCCTCTTTTTGTCGATTCCTCTTTTTGTATTTTTTACATTAAAATGACACTGTGGAAGACAGCCACCTGTCTAAGATTTGGACATTTTTCCTTGACAGTGGGTGGCCGTCTTAGACAATATCAACTGTATATATAGTAATTACATCCTTTTTTTAATCATAGCATTAGTTCCATGTGGTTCTCCTTTGACTGTTAACCCTTTCATGACAAAGGGTCAGTTCGATCTTCACCAGGCACAGTTTGGATCCCCAGGGACAAAGAGCAGGGCTAGATTAGTGATCAGTAGCCTATTATTATACCTGGTTTGTAAATACTACAAACTATCTCTTAAAGAAAACCATTTATTTGAACAGAAAAAGTATAGCTGAATGTGAATCTACGATAAGTTTTATTAAATGCATCTAATAGAAGCAGTGTGCAGAATACAAGCTTCGACGAATGGTGTTAGTCACCATGGTCCTCACACTTCGCAAGGCATAACAATCACTGTATGTCACAGCAGCATTTTGGCTCCCTAGGTCATTCAGGGGTTAATGGGGATATCATGATCTGCAAGCAGTTCAGATTTACTTACCCTAACAGGCCAAAGTTTTCAGAGGCAAGAAAGTACTCTTTCATTCTTTTAACAATTGCACTTACACTATGTATCTTTTCTAGCTTTTTTTCAACATTTGGAAATTGAATATCGATACAATATTTCTTTAGTACATGCAGCAGATACCACAGATTTAGAAACTGCAACTGTTTTTATCAATTAAAATTTTTGTCCGAGTGCATCTGGCCACTGTCATTCAGATAGACCAGTGGAAAAGTACCCACACACCCCCATCTCCAATAACCGGAATTGTAACCATTGTAATGTTGTACCTTCTCAATGTACAGGCGAGGACTCCTCGGACCTACCAGAGGAGCATGGCTCTATCCTGTATCGTTTCCTCACACACCCAGATGCTGTTCCTCTCGAGTTCCTTTCCACAGACGCTTTGCAGGTGCGTTGACCATGAACACATGTTGTTTGAGGAGCTTTTTATAATTATCTGTCTTCTTGGATTTGCATTAAAGTAGAGATATGATTTTTTTCAGTATCCTTACTATGTTGGAAGATACATTAAATCCAAATTTTACCATAGTATTTCTCTTTGTCTTTTTGTTGCTTTCTTCCATGCAAGGGGACTATTGTGACCGTTTATTCAAATTATTTGACGCTGAGTGACATTAGCGACTAGCCCAAGATAAGGAAAGGTGGAAAGTGTTTGTTCATGGCCCCTCTCCTGACCCAGGGTGAGAAAGGCAATGATAATGATTCAAATTATTTGAATGTTAAAACTTTTTATGAGCTTTACTTTCTCTTATTTCAGCATGTGACCCGCCATGTGCGAAAATGCCAGACTGCACTACCTCGAGTGCACTGTGTGTGTGCTATGGGTGAAGTACTCAAAAGTGAGGCCCAGCTGACCACAGAACTCATGTTATTAGCCTGCAAGTGAGTGAGAGCTCTTATGCATTTTTTATTTTTTTTGGTTTCGAAATAACTCAAATGAGTGCTGCGGTTGTGTGTCAGACATGGTACCAAAAAATGTGCATGTGTTTGTAGTTCTTGAGAAGCGTCAATGTGTAAGTACTGAACATGCATTCTGTACTTTGTGTATATTTGATCAGTCTTTAACCAGTTTCACTTCAATTTAATTGCAAAAGAATTTAAATTTGTTGCATTTGTTCACTGTTATCATTTTGTTTAACATATCAAAAAGGGAGAAAAGTATAATGTTCCCGAGATGTCTAAAAATCCGTTTAATCTCGAGAACTCATTCATCTACACGCCATGCTAAATTTTCCTATAGTAATGCGGCTGGAGCAGTGATCCTGGTTAGTTTCTGCCACAGACATCTATTTTTAGACTTGCAAGCAATTGATAAACACAAATCTAGTCTTTTGGATGGTTGCATGCTCTCACAAAACGAAAACATCAAAATGACTTTAAAAAGGCAGAAAATTTCCCTTTTTGACATAGATTTGCAATTTTTTTTTTTTTTTAATGTTATTGAGTAAGGTGGGGGTGGGAAGTGGGGTGATATAAAGAATAAGGAAAGTGAGAAAAGGGACATGATTGAAGACCTGGGGTCTGAAATATGTCCCGAGTGGGCTTGATCTAAATCGCAAGTCCATTAACACTGAGACATGAGACTGCTGTCTTGGCTAATGAGCTTAATTGAAAATCAGTTCTAACAGTAGGAACGCACACCCCGTGGCAATGCAGGAGTTGAAACAATCTTTTCATCTTATACTATTGCTTCTTTTCCCCCTGGCTCTGACATGTTCAACAGCTTGTGAGCAGTAAGCTTATTCTGTGAACCTTTTCAAAGTTAGTAAGGAAAATGCTTTTACTAATTATTTTCATTACTAGTATGTTTGGTTTTGACTCTGCTTGGAGTACTTTAACGTAAAAAGTAACAGTTTCGAATGTGAATAGCACAATGCTGATAATTACAAGCAAAAGAGATCCAAGACTGTAAATTAAGATTTCATTGAACGCTGTTTTTTTTTTCTTTATGTTGGAACATGTTTATATTATAGCGATAAGATCCCATTTCATTTTGTAAATGGCCTTGAACTTGCAAGAGAATTTAACTTTATATAAACATATTTTTGCTTGGCATGGTCATTTTAGTTTCTGTTATAATTAGGCTGTACAGTTTGGTTTAAACTTTTTCTTAAATTTGGTTCTCAGAAAAGTAGGGGTATTTTTCTAGGAATGCTCTTGTGTCACTGGGGAACTCCTTTTTTCTAAGTGTGAAAATTAATGAAGTTGCTGTCATTTCTCTGACCACCTTTGTTCTCAGAGTTGGAAAGGCTTTGGTTCTGGCAGGCAGGAAACCCAACTCTCAGTCAGGCTATGACGTGGTCAACTTTGGCATTAGTAACCTCACAGTGACTACACGAACAGACCTGGCCAACAGGTATTGTATTTGCCTTAAACAGTAATCCCCCATCCCCACCCCGCCCGCCCTCCCCACCACCCTCTCATTTCCTCTCATATAACGACAGTGCTAATGCGGTGAAACCCTCATAAAGGAAGAAATAATGCAACCCAGCATTTGTTGGTATTTGTGCCAATTTGGCCCACAAATGCTTTAAGTGTGGAAGAGTAGCGATGGGATTTCAGTTTAGATTTAAATTGAATGGATTTTTTTTAAATCTCAGAAGGCTTTCCAACACTACTCCATCTGTCCTTCTACAGTATAGAAGATTAATTCATATGCAGCATTTTTTTGCTCACTTTTTTAAAGACTTTTTGTAGATGGTTGGTGGGTGCTGTAGTGTGATTTGCTTTTTCTTTCCGATCAAACATTTACTGTCCTTATCTCTCCTTCTTTTTTGTGTTTGGTACTTGCTTGTTACACCTCTAATCTTCTGCACTTGTATGACTTTATTGTGCTGCAAGTGCCGTGATACTCTTATTAAAACTAAAACGAAGACTTTTCTTACCACATTCTACAAACCAGATTGTGATTTTTAGCAGAGTTGTCTATTGTCTTTCCTGGAGTGTGTGCTTCTCTCAATTTTGTTTTTCCTTTTCTACTGGAGTAAGTACACTCAAAGATTAGCTAGCCATAAGCATCCAAATAGATTTCTGCTGCATTTGTGATAGGTTACTTGTAATATTTTTCGATCCCCCCCCCCCCCCCCCCCCCCCCCCCCCCATCCTTTCATTACAGGAGGTCCAATTCTTCTTGGAGCAGAAAGAAAGAATACATGTTACATTAACATTAAAATTTCTGTTATACCATGTGAGTGTGTCATACTTTCATTGACAAACTTTCTCTGCCTTCTTTCCTTTTTTAAATTTATTTACTATGACTACTGAGCCGAGTGCTCTACCTATAAATTGACAGTTTTTTTCTAGTACATTTTATTCACACAATAAAGAACAAAATGAATACTTTGTGTTCATGAAAAATACCTGCACATAAGTTATCAAATATGCTTGATTAAGTATCTTATATTTATAATATTTCTGCACTGTTTACGTCTTGAGTGGGCAGGGGGATAGATCTTTATTATGAAGCTGAGTGAGCTTTCAAAGTAGTTGCACATGATTATTCATAAGCATTTTCACTGTTATCATTCTTTGCAAAGTGTATTACGTGTATTTTGAATTCTACTAATTTCCATACATGTTTAAGTTAGCTTATTAGCTTATAGTCTAAGTTAATCTTGATTTCTACTATTCTTTTTGCCAAGGATGTGAGCGTTGTGATTATTTACTAATGTCATTCATGAGGGACGTTTGACTTGGAAATTGACTGTTATCTAAGGTACACAATAGTAATAAAAGATTACATCAGAGTTTTTGACCTAGGGTCTCCAAATCTTGTGTTTTTGATTGAACAGTTTCCTGTATGACATTGGATTCTTGATAAGGAAAGGAGAAAAGGGCCTCAGTATTGCTGTGAAAAATATGGGGCCTTTGTAATGTAACGGCTGAAATATTGTTCCTCTGATTTGAAATCATGTTTAGTGGACTTATTGTCTAGACACACAATGCAACTAATTATACTACTTACCATTGTAATGGCTGCCAAACTTTGGTCCTTGTTTATAACATTACTCAGTGTCCAATAGCTTTTAAAGTTCATCACGGGGTTGTGCGAAGATCGAACTCTACAGATATCAGCATATGAGGCACAATTGACATACATGCTTAACTTCACTGACACACGTGCGTTCACACACACACACACACACACACACACACACACACACACACACACACACACACACACACACACACA